TAATTTCTAAAAGAAGAGTAGTTAAGTGCTATGTGTACCATTTAATATTGTTGCATTAAGCTTCAGAAGTAAAAGTATTTTAAAGCAAGCACGTCTGAAAACTTTGCTTAGGTGAGAACAAAGATAAGAGTGCCACTGAAAATCTGAATTACTTGTGGAATCAAATTGTTAGGTGGCATTTTTGATCCAGATCTTGCCATTGCTGAAGTAATCTGAAAGTTTTTTTTCTTTTTTGTTTCCCCCTAAGCCTTTGGGACCGGAGTACCATGACAGAAGTGAAGGCACTAAATGTTGCAATGTCAGTGAGCAGCATGGAGTACGTTCCAGAAGGACAGATACTTGTGATAACCTATGGGAAAACTATTGCTTTTCATAGTGCAGAAACGTGAGTCCAAACCACAGAATTTTCACAGGTTGAGTAATGGGCTTGGTTGTGAGTGAAAAATGATTCTACAAGGCCAGGATCACCAAGGTGTCCACCAATACCAGTTCTGACATCTTTGACATCTTGTCAGAGGCAGAGGGTGAAACAACTACCCTCTGTGAACCCTAACTATCTGCAAGGTGCTAGACTGTAAAGTTTTGGTGCCATTTTCATTTCACACTAACTGTAATTGTAGTTAAATAAGTTTCATACAGGGTTCAGTTCAGTGCTTTTCAGAGAACTTAATTATCCATACATCTCTATGACATGTTAACAAAGTGAGTTATACACTTAAACGTTCCAGAAAGTAGTTCTGAATGTGTGAGCTTTTGTTTTGCTTATTCTGAACTTGTTCCTAACTTGATGAGCATGATTTGCAAGTATTAAAACTTATTTCAGAAACTGTGTGTGTGTGGTGTATTCTGTTTTTGTTAAAAGCAGTTGTGGTTAGTAGAATCACAGTTTCTTTGCTCTCAATATTAGGGTTTTCTTTAAATTACCTTTGGTAACAAGCTTTTCTCCCACAGTCTAGAGCAGATTAAATCATTTGAAGCACCTGCTACAATCAACTCTGCATCACTTCACCCTGCGAAAGAATGTTTGGTTGCAGGTGGTGAAGATTTTAAACTCTATAAGTATGACTATAATTCAGGAGAAGAATTAGGTACGTTTATCTTCTGTATTAAAAAAAATACTTCTGAAATGGGTATTAGAATAATGAAATAATGACTAATGACTAATGAATGGGACTTGTACTCAAGATTTCAGTATAACGTGCTGTGCAAGAGGATGGAAGGAAAAAATGCTTAACTAATAGTATACTTTATCTCGGTATACTTAATGTTGTTCTTCTAGAGCTAATTCAAGCCTCCATTAAAAAGCCTTTTACACAGACTTAGAAAAAGTTATTCTGTATTGCTGCAGTAGCAAGCATTAAGTGTTGTGACATTCATTAGATATGTCTAATAATTTGCAACTGTTGTGAAAAATGTGATGTTTATGTTCTTGGTAATGTTGGACAAATAGATTTTAAAAAAATGTATATATTTCAAAGTTTGCTTGTTGATCCCACCCTCATTTAAAACTCTTTGTGTGTAAAGTTGAAGGAACAGAGCAGGTGTACTCCATGGTACTGGCTTGTGTTAGTTTTGACTTGAATAAGTAAGCACCTGCAAGAACACTTTAGTATGTTACCTAAAGTAGAGAACACTTACATACCAATTAAGAGGAGCTTTAGTTTGCATCAGAAGTTAAATACTGAAAAAGTGTCCTTGTCCCCCAGTATTTGTCCCCCAGTATTTCTCCCCCTCTTCTGATTGTTTTTACTTACTAATTTCAGTTGTTGGTTGAAACGTGAAATGAATGGTCTTGATGTGTTCTCTTACAGAATCTTACAAAGGCCACTTTGGTCCAATTCACTGTGTGAGATTTAGTCCTGATGGAGAGTTATATGCAAGTGGCTCTGAGGATGGTACGCTAAGACTGTGGCAAACAACAGTAGGGAAAACCTATGGCCTTTGGAAGTGTGTGGTTCCTGGTAAGTGTCTGCTTGTTCCTAGTGAAACTTGGATGCTCTGTGTGTTTTTTAAGTAACATCTATTATAAGTGATAAACATCATTGAATTTCATACAGTAACTGTACTGTCTTCTTAGGGTTTCTATATATGATTATATGTATCCACTCAAATCTGTTGGATTTAAGGATTTACTTTGGTAGATGTCATTTAAGCAATTAACTTCAAATGTGTAAGCTTACTGAATAAAGATACTTTGTGGCTATTCAGGCAAACAGTCTGATGTATGTTTAAAAGAAATATTAAATACTGTTTTTTAGAAGTTTTAGAGATAAGAATCTAAAATTTCACTAAATTAAGTGGAATTTTTTCATTAAATTTTGGGGGAGGAACTGAAGATATTGACTGTTTTTTCTTCCTTCTGCCTACAGAAGAGGAGAATGCAGAAGCAGCAAAAGCAAGGGCTACCCTTCCAGGAACTGCAGAGGAAGAAATAGGTAATGCACTGAACTGCCAACTTCAACTCAGCTAAATGTTAAAAGATAGTGACATTTGTTAGTATGGAAGAGGTAGCTTTTCCCAGGTACCTTCTGGCATTTTTCACTCTTCTCAAAAGATCTTTGAATGCATTTTCCTGAAAATGACCATGTGGTGAGTGTCAGACTACTGAATAGAGCTGAGCAGATGAACAGATGGGGTAGAGTAACTGCATCAGGTTAAATGGGAAAATAAACTGAACTGGTCTTTAATCAATCCCTGTAACATTTATTTGGTTTAAATATCTAAGATGAAATTAAAATAACACCCTTTTTATTTAATTGCAGAAGATCTTGCCTCTGAAAATTCAGATACAGTGTACAGCTCAACTCCTGAAGTTAAGGCCTGATTATTGCAACTGTTAACGCGACATACGGACATACGAGACTAAATCCAGTTACTGGTGATAAACGGCAGCCTTCCAGAGTGTGCTCTCTACATGAGGCAAAGCTGGGCAGTAATTGATGAGAATGCGGTGGAACTGGCTAGGTGTTGTCTGTAAGAACTGAGTATCCAAACAACAGGAAAAGACAAGTAGTAGAGTTCTGCTATTTCCTTAGCGTAACTGCCTACTGTCTTTTCAAAGAAGTGTGCAAGCCAAGATCCTGTCTCTCCAACTTCAGTTAGACTCATTGTAGTGTGGTGCTTTTTGGTTTTTGTTGTTTTTTTTTTCATTGTGGAGAGGAGAAACAATGGTTTTACCCACTTTTTTTTTTGTTCTGTTTCATTTTCTTGAAAGTTGGAAAACTTGGCTTTATTTGAAAATGGATTATGTACTTATTTGGTTTGGGTTTTGTTTCATTGTATGCTGCTTCTGAACATTTGTTTTCAATTGTCTTAATAAAATGCCTCTCAAACCTCGTATCTTAATGTTGAGTGTGGGGTTCATGGAATGGAAAAGTAACGGAATCCTTTCTAGCATTCTGGATTTCTATGATACAGAGGGAAGAAAGCGATAAGAATGTTTTAGTGTTGGTACAGACCGTGGCAAGTTCTTTAATCTGTAATCGTTGTGTCTTTTTATTCTTCAAAGTTTGAATGTAAATGTGAGTCAAATCAAAACCAGTGAACACTCCTAAATTAAACATGCTGCCTGAAGTACTTGGTTGTACCTGAAAATTTCAGAGGTTGGCTTTGAGTCTGTATAGCACTTGGGTTTAGTCCTTCAGACTGGATAAAAAAGTTACTCTTTCAAGGCTACAAATCATATTTTCTTCATTAAAGAAAGTATTGCCATTCTTCCACTTGTCATTTCCTTTAATGTTATGCTGTAAGGTTTATATGATGCATTCTGTAAAGAAAGAAAAGTAATACAGAGGTATATTTATTCATATGCCTTTTTATTTTTAATACTCTTATGTGTCCTTGCTCTTCCATTTTTTCCCGAGAGTACAACAACGTTGTTATCGTAGAAAATTGAAGCTTAATATTTGAAAATTGAGGCATAAATTGAAAGGTGGGCAGTTATGTCTGAACATAAGAAAATGCTTTTCCCGTGTGAGGGGCAGTCAAACACTGGAACATACTACTTAGGAGAGTGATGAAGTGTCTGATCTTGAAGATACCCAAAACCCACTGGATGTGACCCAAGGAAACCTGCTATATCTGAGCCCATTTCAGCAGGTGCTTGGACTTGGGTGGTTGGCAGAGGTCCCCTCTAGCTCCAGCTGCTGGAATGGAGGATGTGAGAAGGAATACAAGGAATGATCCTATGAATCTTTGTTTCTTAGTGCAGTAGTAGTGTTGAGGATATGTTATTTGCAGACACTATGCCAAACTTAATTTGCAGTTATCTCTGAATTTTACTCTCAAAACAACTTGCAACCCTCTGATTTACAGCTAATTTTGTCAGCCTTATTTCTAACCTATTTCAGCCTAGAAGCTGTTTTACAAGCTGTTTAAACAAATTCGCACACCTCTTGCAACTGAGTGCAGGCTCTAGTCTTTCTGCTTTATTTCAGTAGGCTGCACAGCATTCCACAGAGACTGGAATAGCATCCTCGGATTTCAGAGCTGTGGCCATTCACTGCTTTAAAACGATGCTGTCTTGAGTTTGTGGTTTCTTCGCTAGCCATGTGAAAAGACAGCTGAAATCATCTGTTACCTAAATGAGAATATTAACAGTGCGTAATACTTTTTTTCATGTGAGTTTGTGTCATCACAACTAGCTAAAGGAGGCTGTGATGTTGTCAGTGGCTTGTTACCGGACTTAGATTTTTCAGGTGTTACGAGGAAGTTTTACAAGGTTGGTAAGTTACAGAGCCTGTGGTGTGCACGTTTAACCCTAGTTTTTATTTGAAGATTCGACTCGAAGGAATGTTAATTTGCCTGGACTCCGTACCATCAAGAAGGCAGCTCGGGTGTTACTTATCCTTAAAGGAGCAGAACATCCTACAGCAGCTCCTGCCGCCGGACAGCAGTCTCCCTCCGGAGGCTGAAGGGTGGCGGTAGGTCTTGGCTGCCTCGTAACCAGTCTCTCTGCAACACCGCCTCGGCACTAACGCGGTGGCGGCGGGGGAGCGCCGTGCCCGCCCGCCCCCGCCGCTTCCTGCCTGTGCGGGGCGGGACCGGTGAAGCCGAGGTCCGCCCGCCTCGCTGGGTCGTAGAGAGCCGCTGGCAGCGCGGGCCATGGCGGGGAGAAACCCAGGCACGAAGCTGGGTAAGGGGCGGTGGCACGCGGGGAGGGCGCTGTGGCCTCGGCTCCTGCGTAAGAGCTGCTGGCTGCGGAGCCGTGGAGTGAGGGGTGCCCGAGGCGGCCGATCGGGAGCGCTGCTCATGCAGGGCCGGCCGCACGCACTGGGACCAGGCAGAGGAGCGCCGGTGAGGCCCCGAACGGCTCCCGGCTGTAGGGTCGGCCCCTCTGCCGCAGCCGACCCACTCAGTGCGTATAAGCAGGCTGCTCCAGACCCTTGTTTTTATGGGAAGCCGAAATAGAAACAGACATGAGATTCCCTTAGCATATCATACACCAGTGACATACAGGCTTGTTGGAGACTTGTTTTCCCTTTGGTACTCCAGGTTGAACAGCGATTGAGGTTTCACCATCTCATAGGTCTTCGGCTTGAGAGGCTCCGAGCAGGGCACGGGGCTGTGGGACTCAGCAGTCCTAGTCCTGTTACAAAGCTGGGCCTCGTCCCCTCTTGATCACTTTTATGGTTCTCACTGAATAAACCCCTTCTTTCTCCCCAAGAGGCTCAAACCACTTTTTATTAGTTGGATTCTGATTTGCAAACTGGGAACTTTAACTCTCCTTATTGTTCTCCCTGTTGCTTGCTCTCTGAACTCTCCTTATTGTTCTCCCTGTTGCTTGCTCTCTGAATACCAGTAAGGATTTTGCAGGTGGTCTCCAAGCCCACAAAGTGTCTGTGCCAGAAGGAAGGGCAGAGAGCAGCCATGAAAGGATTTCTCTGCAATTTCCAGTTGGAGCGCCTCTTCTGCTGATTGCTTGGGATAGGGACAGAGAAAGGGCTACAGCTTTCTGACTTCCCCCAGCAAACTCTAACTGCAGTGGTGGGATGAATTAAGATGATTAGCCTTCCTGCAGTCTGCATTTGAGATACAATAATTTGGTTAATATGAGCAGATGGCTAGTTAAGTGAAGCAGATACAGGGGTGGCATCATGGAAGATGGGCAGCGAAGGACAGCTAGTGTGGAGCAGGTTGATCTCAATTGGTTAGCAAGAGCAGAGTTCAGGAGTCCATGCTGCACTGTCATGTGGCTGTGCTCGTCTCTAGCAGGAGCTTGTGTGCTTTTACAGAGCAGTTAAATGATTAGCCTGTGGACAACTGAGTTGACTGCATTTTCATTCACCAGAATCCTTGATGTGCTGTAACTCCTGAAAGTGAGCTGTCAAATTGCTCTCTGATGTGCTTATTCTTGGGTTGCTTGCAGGGACATATGAGTTTCAACCGTAGCCATCTGAACAGCATCTTTTTGCTGAAGCAAACATTAATAATGCAGTGGCAAAACTTCAACATCTGTTAGGAAAAACTGGCATGAAAGTTTGCAAAAGCACTCCAGTTACTTTAAACTAGGTGCATGTTTTGCTTTTTCTTACTGTAAATTTAATGTTACAATTGATTGTTGGTATGTGGGAAGAACAGAAACTTGAGTATGAAGTCAGTTCAGTTCTTATCAATAGTCATCCTCTGACAGATGGGACATGTCAGGAAGGCTGTGCTGCCAAGTGGGAAATTATTGAAAGAGACAGTTGACCTCACTAATATTTGGTTGGGTGTTCCTGTACATCCTTAGTCAAGGGAGAAGTATTCAATCTGCATCTGACTAGCACATCATACTTGTTTTTGACACCACTGAAGTAGTCTTTGAGTATGTTCCAAGTACTTTCTGTAACTCTTTCTTTTCCTCTAAGTAGCCCTCCCCTGCTCAAAATGGAGAGCACAGAAGGATGGATGTCTTCAGGGCTGCACCATGTGGCCTCTTCCAGCTGCAGATTTACCTGGAAAGGCCACAGTCCTCACTTTATCCACAGGTGCTTGTTGCCATGCATTCCCAATGATCTTCGTTGAAATCATTTGCAGTCAAAATAGGGAACTGCAGGTGTTTATAGTCTTGAGAAGAGAAGGCTCGGGGAGGACCTTTAAAATTACCTGAAAGGAGGATGGAACGAGGAGGTGGCTGGTTTCTTCTCCTAAGTAACAACTGACAGGATAAGAGATAACAGCCTCAAGCTGTGCCAGGGGAGGTTTAAATTGGATACAAGGGAGAATTTCTTCACCAAGAGGGTGATCAGGTATTGGAACAGGCTGCCCAGGGTAGTGGTGGAATCGCCATCTCTGGAGGTGTTCAAAAACTATGCAGATGAGGCCTTTAGTGACATGGTTTAGTGGTGGACTTGGCAATCCTGTGGTGATGGTTGGACTTGATGATCCTAAAGGTCTATTCCAACCCAGTTGATTTTATGATTCTATGATCAAGGTTAGGTGTGCAGGACAGGCATGGTAGGGGAACAGTGTGGCCATCACTACATTTGTATTAAGCAGTAGCATACCCACTGTATCTAACAGCTGCCTTATGCTGGCTGCTTTAAAGGGAGAACTGAATCTCCCTGCCCTTTGCTCTCCCACTAAATATACATCTGAAGTATGTGAAGTGCTGTGTTTAAGTAAGTTGCTGTATCTTACTTGGTGCTGTATCTTAGCTGGTAGCAGTGCTCAAACTGAGCATGTTAAACCCTTGCCTTTATCTGTCATGGCTGCTAGCAATACACACTGCTTCTGTGACTTAGGCACTTTGGCTTTTCAAGGTTTTGCCAGCTTGTGCAAGTGTCTTTAACAGTAATTCAAGTGGTTTGCCCTGTATCTCACAGAGCGTTCTGTAGGATTATATCCTTCTAACAGGGACACCTAGTGGTAAAATGTTTTACTTAAAAATGTATTACTTGAGTCTTTTTCTCTGTGCTTGCTATTTCTGTGCTTGCTACCTAATGTCATCATTTAAGCAGTAAATTTCTGATGCTGCTATTAGCGAACATCTTTTGTTTATCAGTGACATGCCAAACTCTTCTCAAATAATTACATGTAATGCTCTCCCATGTGATTTTTAATAAATACCTTTTTTGTAAAAGTCCTTAATTCATCCTTTCTTTCTGTCTTTCTTCTTATCACTATTCCTTAGTAGCAGAAGGTGTTTACTTGGAGTAAAGAACCAGTACATTATAGCACAGATAAAAAGACACTGATTTGCATGAACTAGTCAGAGGGTCACTAGTCTAATGCAGTGATACATTTGCCAGCAAAAAGTCATGTAAATGAGGTGGATAAGAAATTTTACAAGTTTGTCATTTCACAGGGTCTGCTTGAGAGGTCATTCTTGAGTGTTCAGGTTCACCATAATGCCGCAGGGGCTGAAAGGAGTCTGCCTCTCCTTCTCTGCTCCCAAGGATGATGGACTATCACAGACAGGTGATACAGGTGCTTCATGTTTTGTCACATTTCACAAAAGCATCAGATGCAGCATTTCAGTGCCACTTCACAACAGAATAGCAAAACGCATCAATCAGTATCTGTTTTGTAGTGTAATCTAGTAGCATATTCCTTTGGTTTAACTGCGGGGATGCAGATGTCTTCCATGTGGGTTTTCTGTTCCCTGCAGACAGAATTTTGATGCAACAACTTCAGAAGTCATGGAGAAGGAAAGATACTGAGTAACCTTGGGTAGAGACAGAAGATGGCAAGTAGGATGTTTAAAACCAAGCAGCTAACACAGGTGATGTGCATGGAGCCTGAGTATGTGCCTAGATACAAGTCTACCATTCAGTAGAGGTGGTGGAATCTAAATCAGAAAGAGGAATGGCCTGAACCACAATACAGGGTTGTGTGGTAGAACAACAGCAGGATTACCAGTCACACAGGTCTACTGTTTATTGCATAGTAAAAGGGTAAATCCTGCCTGACCAACCTAATTGCTTTCCATAGTAAAACGAGTGCATATTTTGACAAAGGGAGAGCAGGGGATGTTGGTTTACTTCAATTTTAGCAAGGTTTTTGACACTCTCTTTTGCAATAGTTCATATCCATGTTGGAACTTTTGAATGGATGAATACTGAAATGGTTAAAAACATGATTGGATGGTGGGGCTGACAAGGTGATGGTAAGTAGGTCATACTCTACTTTGAGGCTGGTACTTAGTAGGGTAATGCAGCGCTCTACCCTGGGACCCTTCTCACTTAACATTTTTTTTCAGTGACTGGAAGAGGTGATGGACTGCTTGCTCGTAAAGTTTACAGATGTGACTGAATTAGCCAGATCATTCAGATGGACCCAGACTGGCTGGAAAAGAGGATCAACAGAAAGCTGGTGACATTCAGTAGGGCTGAAGGCAGAGCCCTGCCTTGGGGAGGATGTGCCCTGTTAGCCACAAGGGCTGTGTCTGCCTCCCTGGGGAGCAGCTCTGCTGAAAGGACCCAGGGCTGGTGCACAGTGAGGTGGGCACAAGCAGCAGTGCCCCAGCAGCAGGGATGGCCAATGGCATCCTGGGCCATGCTGATGGGGACACGAGCAGATGTAGCTCGTGGGAAGAGAGGAATCATCCTCCCTGCTCAGCACTTTTTAGGCCGTATCTGAAAGGCTGTTCCCAGTTCTGTTGCCTCCCAACAGGAAAAAGAGATTGATAAACTGCCACAAGTTCAGCAGAGGGTCACCAAGATGGCCAGAGGGAAGTATTCATATTCATAGAATAGTTTGGGTTGGAAGGGACCTTCAAAGGTCATCTTGTCCAACCCCCTGCAATGAGCAGGGACATCTTCAACTAGACCAGGTTGCTCAGAACCACATCTAGCCTGACCTTGAATGCCTCCAGGGATGTCTCCAGATCCACCAGCTCTCTGGGCAACCTGTGCCAGGGTTTCACCATCCTCATCATAAAAAATGTCTTCAATATATTTAGTCTGAATCTCCCCTCTTTCAGATTAAAACCATTACCCCTTGTCCCGCCTCAACAGGCCCTCTTGAAAAGTCTCTCTCCATCTTTCTTACAGGCCTCTTTTAAGAACTGAAAGGCTGCAATAAGGACTCCCCTGAGTCTTCTTTTCCTCAGGCTGAACAACTCTCTCAGCCTTTTCTGATAAGAAAGGTGCTCCAGATCTCTGATCACTTTTGTAGCCCTCCTCTGGACTCTCCAAGAGGTCCATGTCTTTCTTGCACTGAGGACACCAGAACTGCACACAGACTCCAAGTGGGGCCTCGCCAGAGCAGGGTAGAGGGGCAGGATCACCTCCCTTGACCTTCTGGCCTTACTCCTTCGGACGCAGCCCATGATACGATTGGCTTTCTGGGCTGTGAGCGCACACTGCTGGCTCATGTTCTTGTATTCTAAAAAAGTAAAAACCTATCTGTGTTGCTCAGCCCCTCTAGTTGAAGGGCCAGAAATACATTCATTATGTTTCAATTGATACTTTTAATTATGGTTGGTATTTCTGAGCCATTTACGTGTGAGAGCTAGCCTGTTGGTAAGTGGCATTTAGATAATGAAGTGTTGCATCCCTTTTCAAGACAGCGTGATTCTGTTCTAATATATTAATAGATGGTTTTAGCCTGTGCTGTGGCTCTGTTTCTTCACCGATCCATTCTAACACCTTTTGAATCTGCTGAATATTTTAATCAAATTTGAAGGACAGCTAGATGGCTCAGAAATAAGTAGGTTGCTGGATGGAGAGACCAGATTAGTTCTTGTGTTGAGAGGAAGGCAGGCATAGTTCAGCAATTACATGAGTTTTCTTGACCTCTTTTTTGGGGGGAAGACTATGGGCAGTTTACACAACTAACAAGGTCCTGTTTACTCCATGATCACAAGGACCATAACAGGACAACTGGGTTATTGGGGTTAGGAGCAGTTTCTGGAGCCAGTGAAGAAGAGAGGGAGCAGCAGAGGACCTGGACCTGCAGGAAATCAAGCTCCTGTTGTCCTGCAGCTTGCTTTCTGAGGAGAGGTTTGTCAGTGGGTTTCAAAGTGCTTTGGAGGATGCTGTGATCTATTTCATGTGATCCGTGGTGATTTCACTAATGTCACAAGGTAGTAGAGCTGATTTCTAGTTCAGGGCTCATGCCTTTGTGTCCTGCTTTGAGTATCTGAAAGCTAATGACTTGGAAACTGAACTTCTCTCGTATAAGGAAAATAAGAGGTCCATAGCAAGAGTCACTATGAAAAAATAGCTATAGCTTCTGTCTTGAAGAAACTGAATAACCCTTAAGCCTCTAAACAGCTTACATGGTAAGATAACTGTACAGTGCCTGATCCTGAAACCTTTTCTCTCTCTTCAGTGGCTTTGCTCAGCTCTGGGTGGCCAGCTGGGGTCAGCCTGTGTCCAGGTGAACACCTCATTTCTCCGCTAAAGGTTCAGGACACAGTTTCACTCGCTTCTCTATAAATAACAGCTTTCATCGCTTCCCTTACCCATTTTATCATGTGTTCATGGTAAGAGCAGGAGCACACATGCTGTTTCTGGCACGGAGGAGGAAATAACCAGTTGGGAGGGGCAGCTTCTTTTGGGGACAGTGCTGCCTTAAAATGCTTGTGAAGTTACTGCCTCAGGCATCCTTGAGCTTTCTGTTCCACCATCTGAAGGGATGCCATCTACACATTTTTTTTTAAGCTTCTGAAGAGCTTAGTCTGTTTTATGAGGAATGTGTTAGCTATCTTAGATATTTATGTAATTATACTAATGAAGTGGGTTTATTTATTGTTTTCCGAGGAAATGCTTGGTATTTTTGGATTCATGTTCTGCGAAGAGAGGAGATGAATTTCCTGTTGAATATGATTTTTTCAAATGTCTTTGGAGAAAAAAAGTAAACTTGAAGAGTGATTACAGAATATTGGCTAATTAGCTATAGTGTAACTGCTTTAATTACTTTTATCCGTGAAGCCACATGACTGTGCAGATGACTAGCAGATGACTTATTTAAAAAAAAAACAAGAAAGAAAAAAAAAAAGAGACGTGTTCACACTGCAAGGTTAATGAGACTAATTAAATATAGTTTTCCTTAGCCAGATACTAAATCCTAAAGCTTGGGGGACTGGGGGAGGGGGAGAATCCAAAAGCAGGCAGTGCTATTTCAAATAATGGTTTTATTCTGATTTTTAATGCAAGCAGGGGAAAAAAAAAAAAGCTGGAATTGAGTGATATTTTTGAATACAAACACATTCAAAGATTTTATGAGACCTCACATGGCAAACTTTGAATGTCTATTTAGAGACAATTATGCTGAGACATATATGTTTTCATTTGCCCACTGCTTTAATTAATGGAGAAGTGGGCTTGAATAAAAGGTCTGTGTTAGATAGAAGTCCCCATCTGCTCCTTCGTATTAACAGAACCTTTGTCCTTCTTTGCCTTGGATTTTATTATTTACGCCATTTTATATCCTTTAGTAAACTGCAGAATGTCTCACATCGAGTTCTGCAGACAGGATGGAGTTCTCATTTTTTGTTAGATATTTTATTCTTTTTTTTTAAAGTTTTCTTCAAAACTTTATTTTCTGTGCACAGTGGTTTGATACCCCACAGTCAATAAAGAACAAATCCTTGGGGATCCAAATCCTGTGGTCTTTCAAGGAAACTTGAATCTCAGGCACAAAAATTAGATATTAGACTTTACTGAGTCGCCATGTGTTGGCTGCCTTCATCACTAGCCTTGAGTTATGGAAAACAGAGGGTAAAATGTGTTACATAGTGTGTAGGGCTTAAGCCAATGTAGAGGTTTCACTAGTTTATGTTTCAGCTAGTGATCTTTATTTCTTGATACTCAAAAAGAAGGAAAGTAGCCATTGGTTTTGTAGCAATAGCTTTTCTCACCTACTTTCTACATCAGATAAGCTTCTTGCTTTTGGGACAGAATAGGTAAGCCTGTGGCTTTGAAAGTGGAGAAGAGAAATGAGGGTTTGTTGTTCAGCTGATTGAGACTTTGCAAGCTCCCCTTTGTCACCGTACAGTGAGGCTGAAGCTAAAGTGACACTAACAAAATCCTTAAACTCATTAGGATTCGTTTGAGATTCCTTTTTAGATTTACTTTTTCTGATTTTGCCCAACATTTTGATGTTGTAGGTATTGCTCATTTAACTACTTTTATGTCCTAATAGGGGAGCATGGTGGCTTAGAGTGCTCAGAATGTCTTGTTTAGCTATGTTTCATGCCTTTGTCCTGCATTTCCATTGAGTTATCTTTACCCTAAAGTGGCTTCTCGAGAGCTTTTTGAAAGTCTAATTAGGAAAACAAGCTTGTATTTACACATAGTTCAGCTAGTATATTAGTTCTGCACTATTAAAATATGAAGTAGGAAGACAAAAAATTAGGATAAGATTTCTGCACAAAATTAGTGATTTTTGGCCATCGGATCTTTTTTTCCTTAATGTTTTAAACCTTTTTAATCAGCATGCTTGAGGGAAATGCAAGTTTAATACAGTGGTAAAGGCTCATAGGGACAATATGCTCTTAATAAATTGTCACACAGAATTATTATCTCTTAGTATCTAACCCCATGTCCATATACTGATGTTAAGTGATGATGATACTTGATGGTTGATGGTGGTGATTTGCTGATGATTGGTGGTTAATGATTGTGGATGTTGTTCAGAGTATTTTCATGGATTGCTGATATGATTAGTGTTTGGAAGAATTAGTTTTGGGATATGAGGGGTTTTAAAGATATTCTGATCTCTTTTTTGGGTGTACTTATGTGAGCAGTTTTTGGTTATTAATATTCAAAATTACACCTTTGGTTTATCATACTAAGCAGAACTTTAAAGATTCATGAACCTGGATCCTGATTTCTCCTTTATCCATCAATTGCCCTTTGTTAAGCAGTGTCCCTTCTGTTTTTAGACAATTTCATTGTTTTAGTAAATGTTGAGCATCAGCTTGTCTATAGATATGGTTGTTGTTTATGGATACTGAAACTCATTGAAATTGTGAGCCAGACTGCCTGCAGTGGGCACTTCAAGGAATTCACACATGTAACACCTTGCTCAGAGTCCTCTGGAGTGCTTGGCAAGGTGAACACTTCATGGGCAGGCGTGCATCTTAGCAGCTTCTAGGTAGGTATGTTGCCCAGGAATTCAGTGCTTTTGGAAACTTGCAGTTATTCCACTTAATCAGCCTCTAGTAGAAAATTCAGTAAAATTATCTCTAGACAATAAAATCCAAGTGCTTTGTTATGCAAGGGTCTGTCCAGAAGTTTTCATGACCATGTGGGGTACAGTTCCTGTAAATAAGGATTGAAGCACACAAAATTGCTGTTGCATCCTGGGTGCCACCAGACAAGCAAAGGATTGACTAAATGTTACCATATTATGGAATCCTAAAGTAAATCATCAAGCAGTGGCAGAAGGCTGTTTTGTGGATTTTTTTTTTAATATGCTACATGTTTAAAAAAACCTCATAGTCCAGGACTGCAACGTAGTGTCTCTCATCAGCTGTAATTCAGTTGTAATGACAAACAAAACATGCTGTTTGAAACATCCAGTTCACAGATCATACCCTAACAGAAGTTAATGCTATTATGGTATCTTGGATGAGTGGTAAGTACTCAAGCCCTTTAAAGTACATGGAAGCACAACATGCTCTTCAGAGGGTCCAAACCAAGCTACAACTTTCTACTGAAGTCCCACACCATATATTAAAAGGACACAGAAATAGATAAGACTTTTTTTCTTTTTCCACTCCAGAACTTGGCTGGATCTCAAAAGTGTATGTGAATCGACCTGAAGTTGTGAGGCATGCAGAACAAATTAAAAAATGGAGCACTGTGAAAGGTAATTGGCAAGTAAGTGCTCTTTTTATGCATTCTGTTCCTGTATTTTTAAAGCAGTCACTCTCCTTCTCCAGGCTGCAATATTGAATTTTTTTCAAGATACATGTAAACTTAAAAGATGTGCTTGTCCATGTCTTATTTTAATAATTTGTATTTGATGATGGTGGGATGGAATAAGGTGATGCATTTATCCAAACAAGTTAAAAACCTTATAACTCATGAGTGGCAAAACCGCAAATGAATTTAAGTCATCTTTATTCATGAGTGGATTAAATTGTATATTACTATCCTACCACATTTATTCTGTTCTCTGCATGCTGACTTCTTATTTTTTAATTTTGAAGCTGTAAGATGTGATCATGGTCCCTGTCAAGTTTGACCTACCTGGATGATTTTTCTTTACTTAAACATCCCCAACATGTGTGATTTCTTTTCTTAAGTAGTTCTTACCTAAAACTCAAAAATTCTAACAAACAAGCTATGGCACTCAGGGGTGGGAGGGGAAAGAGCCTACTACCGTTAAAGGGACTGACATCTCAACTCCTCAGCTCAGGTAAATGATTGGTTATTTTCTGTCTAATATAAAATAGGTTCAAGTAAACTATTGCTAAAGCCAGTGGTGCAAATGAACTTCTTTTCAAGGCTGACTTGTATTCATTGACACACACGTTCAAGCTGTCTTGGCAGTTACCTTCAACCTCTGCTGATTGCTGCCCTCCTGACAGAATTGACAGATACTGGCCTGGTATGCATTTTGGTTTCTCCAGTTTGTACATGAAAATCGTACTCAAAACCATCAGGTCAGCAGCGTAAGGTAGTGTGTTCTGCAAAGCAGAGTGAGTCATGGCCATGTGCTGGCTTCTGCTGCCCCAGTGTCAGGACAGGAAGTGGAACAGCAAGCAGCTGGCTGCAGGATGTTGTGAATGCTTTGGCAGCCTTCAGCCAAGGGCAAGGTGTGAAAAAAAGCCATACAGCAGACCAGGAGGTCCCAGTGAGCTCTCAGCTTTGGTCCAAAGGACAAATTTATTCCTCATTCACCAAACAGCTGTTCTGCAAGCAAATATGTGTGATTCCTCCCCTCTGCCTGCTAAATAAGTCATTTACTTGCAACAGTAACTGAAAACCTGAGTGTGGGAGGAAGGGGACAGTAAAGGATCAGTCTTAACAGTGCAACGTATTAGAATAAAGCAAGAATCATTTAGCTGTACCTTAATTCTTAAAAAAGCTGCTCAAAACAGTTGGCATCCTGAGCTTAGCATGTCAGGCAGCCATTCTGCGATGGCTGAAGCTGCGTTCACAATGAATGCAGATGTTGTAGATGATGGCTGGGGGTAATTTGATGTAGCTGTAAGATCCTACTGGAAGGTGATAGAAAAAAAACCTTCCTACCTGTTATGTGAACCTGAAAATTTGGGCTTTGAATGTGATGATTAAATAAAAAATGGTTATAAACTAGGAAAGTTAGACTCCAGCTCAACATTTCTTCAGTTTCTTATCTATAAAGAGGTCACTTGATACCAAGTTTAGCAGTCTAGTAGCTCTGGGTTAGGAAATGGTGTCAGTGAGAAAATCCAGAGGATATTCCACAATCTGGTCTATTGTCAAGTACTGCAGGTACAGTAATAAAAAAATAAGTCTGCTGATCTGACCAAAGTTACAACCTTTACATACTTGAGGTTAAGCAGCTCCACAGATTCAAATTTGGAGCCCATTTCCAAATACACATCTGAAAACCCCTTTTTTAAAAGAACGAAGTTCATACCAGGTCTTGGAACTCCTTGACTACATTTGCCTCAATGACTTTATGATTCATGTCACAAGAGATGAGGCAGAAATTCCTTTGAAGGAAAGACAAAAAAAATCCAAGTAAAAGAAACTAAAAACCATTTAACATGAAAATCCCCTTTGAAGGATTAGAGAGTGAAAGTAGAAATCAGTTAGAAACAAACAGTCAGGCTTTGACTAACAGAGGCTGGTAACGGTTCATTACTTCGTTCAGTCACCCCAAAGCAGCTTTCAGTGTAACATTTACTGAAAGTTCAGAAAGGAGACTCCTGTCAGCGAAGTGTGAAAGGTTTGTAGGCTGGCCAGCCACTTAAGGTTTTCAGAGTAATACCTCCATGCAGAAACAAGTTTTGCTGCCTATCAGTGTCAGAGGGCAGTCAAAGAGGAGCTTTATGGACTTCAATGGACTTTGCTATTGCAAACTCTCGCCTTGCTGAACATGTGCACACTAGGAGATGTCAGCTTTTTGCAAAGCCATCGCTGTAAATGAGAATTCTCTGGAAGACCTTCAACAAATATTCCAAAATAATGTCTTGAGCTCAATTTTTATTCAGCAAAATTCTGTAGCATTTTCATCTAAAAAGTGCTTACTTTTTTTTCCCCCACCAAATATTTATTGATGTTTTTTATTCCCTATTCACACAGAAGAAAGTGGAAACATCTGGAGTATAGACCCTAAGTTTTAAGAAGTCTGGGTTCTTACCCCCCACTGATTCCGTGTTTCACTCTCACAGCAGGAGAAGCATGCAGATGTGCAAGTGTGCAAATTGCTGATGTGTAGACTCATCTGGTTACTGGCAGTTGCAGACCTTGTGCATACAAGCCTTAAAGACACAGACATTTTTTATAGAACGGGCCATGTTATAACAGTGAAGTTCCTTACATAGGCGGTGTTTTCATCTTTGTCTTACATAATTAAATTTGAAACAAGATGCTTTTTATCATGGTAAAAATGTTTGATTCTTACAGAGTTCCATTTGGTAGTTAGTATTTGCACCAAAATCTGGAGTTTGATCCTTTGATTTTCAGAGAATGGACTTTTGGTTCCAAATACTCTCTAGCATTAGATACTGCTCAAGACATGAACAAATATCTACCAACTCTGTCCTTCATAAACCATGCTTTGCACATCCTCTATGTTTCCTCATATCCCATATGTTTTCTCATTCTTGAAGTGAGATCCAGGCTTCTGATTCCTGCATCTTTTAAGTGAATTTGGCTTTGGAAGCATAAACTGAAATACTATATTCCTTTCTTCACTCCCTTTGTAGGCTGCTTGGCTGCTGAAAGCTGTCACCTGCATAGACCTTACCACTCTTTCAGGTGATGATACTCCTTCGAGTATTCACAGGCTGTGTTTTAAAGCAAAGCATCCCATCAGAGAGGATCTGCTGAAAGCCTTGGACATGCATGATAAAGGTATGGTAGTTTTTATTGTGTGTATTTTGTAGAGAAAATGTCTACAAAACAATGTCCTCATTGTTCAATTTTCAGAAAGTGGTAAAAATGTCTCTTCTTCCTGTAATGAAAGGAGTTATGATAGGGAGCCCTGCAGAAGTAATTGTCCTGAGAGAGCAAATTAAGTTCTATATGATCTTATTCAAAGCAGCTGTCTTAAGTTCTAACTGCTAAATATGTATTCCTTTGAGTTAATATAAGACTATAAGGAGAAAAAAATCCATTCTCTGTTTGGCAACCAAAGTGGAGAATGGACTTAGGGCAACTCTAAGTTATGATAGCTAATGAGCAAATTTGATGTGGAAGCTGCAAGTGTGTAACCTCAGTGTATGTCTTTTAATAACAGTGCACTAAGGTGAAACTGAGTATACTGTTAATCTGCTGATGTCATTAGTAAAATGGTGAAGGGGAGAATGTTCATGGGAGTCCTCTAGATTTCATGCTTAGCTGCTGTTTCTGTAACTACTGAGCCTGCCACTTTGCCTGTCAAAAAGATGCATTCCACAGTCCTAAGCATCTTGTTTTTCCTTAAGAATACTTTATCTGCTTTTTTCAGTAGTTAAGATAGGAGACATCTTTGCAGTCTGGTCTATAAGGAATTAATCCTGTAATGGTGGTTGTGTGCATGTCACATATACACATATGTACACACACACGATTCCCAGAGTTGAAGTCAACTGAGTTGAAGGGGTAGAAGACAGCCCTAAAGAACTAGTGGTAAAACTTTAATTGTCATTACTCAAGGAGGCTCCATCTGAAATCCCAGTGTTGTACCCAAGGCTGACCACAGTAAAATTTTGGAGCTAATTGAGACTGTCAATATAACTATCAATAAAATCTCTTTACAGCTGAGCACTGTTTCTGAATTTTTCCACATGTAATCACTGATGTATCAGTGAATACCAGTTGACTTTGGTCTTATGATGATCTAACAAAAAGAAAATCCCAGCGACATTTGGGGCATGCTTTTACTGTTGGTATATTTCAGTTTTATATGGACATTGGCCCACTGATTGAAGACATATGATGTGGAACCAAAATGAAATCAGGCCTCTGGTTTTAAGCCATAGACATAAAATACCAAAGATTAGTCTTACTTGAAAACTTTGATTTATGGACTCTTCAGACAGGTGAAGTATTAAAAATCAGGTCAATTATCTGAGACTTTGAGAGAACAGTGTTTTAACTAGAAATGCAGTAGAACTTCATTAACATAAAGACTGCTCAGTTGCTGCTGGGCTTAGTCTGGCTCAACAAGGACAGAGCTTGGCAGTGTGGTTTCTCTTGCAGTAATTTTCTGACTAAGCATGTCTTAACTGTACGTGTTGGCATTAAAAAGTGAATCTATCTATAAAAATCTTGGCATTTTAACTCCTGCTAATGCAAACTTGCTTCTAGGGTCAGATGAGTGAACATGAGGGCGGTAACAATATGGAGAATTACCTGAGCTGTTTGAGCAATATAACAGACATCTCCAGTGTAGGTCCTTAAGATCTGTGTGAGAATGCAGAAGTGGGAGGTGAGAGCAATGCACACATGCTCATAATGTGATTGCACTTGAGAAGGTGGAAATCTAGATAGAAAAAGTGAACTGTAGCTTTTGCAGGTATTACTGTCGGAGCAGTTTGTGTATATCCTGCAAGAGTCACCGATGCTGTTAATGCCCTAAAGGTTGCTGGCTGCAACATACCAGTAGCTTCAGGTAAGCTTTATTCAAAAATATCCTGTTAAATATATTGATGCTATAAAATAGGTAGAAAGATCTAGCAATTTGGACTTGCTTTTGTTTCAGAGTATAAGGTAGAAAGGTGGCAGGTGGAAGGAAGGGAATGGAGGGGAGAATTGCTTCTGGTATAATCTTTTGTTTTCCTTCAAGCTTATCAGGAATGCCAAATCCATTTTGCTGGAAGCTCTTCAAAGAGGTCCTTAAGATATATCACTATTTTCCTCATCCAAATAGAAAAAATTGAGATAGTGTGTGGGACAAAGTAACAGTAGACACTAAGTCAATAACAACAATAATAATAATAATAATAATGATACAGTATGAGCTTTAGGAGTTCTAATACACTTTCCCCCCTACCCCCCATCAGTTGTTTGTCTTTTAAGTGTAATCCTGTGTCATGGTTTAACCCCAGCTGGCAACTAAGCACCACACAGCTGCTTGCTCACTTCCCCTCCCCAGCTCTTCTCCACTCACCACACGAGAGACAAGTCTTGAATCTACAATAAGCAAAAAATAGTATCAAAGAATTATACAGGTTGGAAGAGAGCTCTGGATGTCATCTGGTCCAACCTCCTGTTCAAAGCAAGAGCTAACTTTGAAGTTAGATCTGGTGTTTAATGCGAAGATCCATGTGTGGGTTTTTTTGTTGTTGTTTCATTGTTATGTAGAGGAAAAAAATGTACTAAATGCATTTATATGTCAGAGATAAAGAGGATCTTGAAAAAGCCATTATTTTTTCCATTTACAAAGTTACCTTTGGGTTTTCTACTTAAACATCATAAACATAATCTGAAGTAGACCTCATTGAAAGCAATTTTTGCTATGTTTTAGCTGTTAAACATATTACTAGGATTTAGCTTGAAATACTACTTAAAATAATTGGAAAGAATTAAAAATGTATGTATTGCTTCATCTATGAGCTCACTCCTTGTTTGCTCAATTCTGCTGGAAGCAATAGATATCGTGCTTTCTTATGTAGTCTGCTTTGGAAAATATTAGGGCATATGAAAGAGACCTTTTTGCAAGGTGCACTTAGTATCTTGCTGGACATTGGTTCTTGAGGAAAGAGCTAATGTTTCTTGTGGATGAAGAGAGGGTAGGATGAGATGTCTTTAGATTGTTTGGATTATGTTATGGATAAAAAAATAAAACAACTTTCAAACTCTTTGGTGTATTAGAGGTATATGCAATTTTATGGTCAATTTATAAAACATTTTCTTTCCTCTACCTGCATTCCCATTCTTGCTAGTGGCTGCTGGGTTTCCATCCGGGCAAACTCTTCTAGAAGTCAAACTGGCTGAAATAAAGCTGGCTGTGCAGTATGGTGCTAGAGAGATTGACATTGTCATTAGCAGGGCTCTGGTGCTGACTGGCCAGTGGGAAGGTAAGTATCCACCCTTTGGCAAGGAACTTAAACCTCTGTATCTGCGCGTGCAAGCTCTGTCTTTATCTCTTCCTCAAGTCTCCATATTGGTCCTTGAAATTTTGTCCCTCCCCTAAAAGTAATTGATAATCTGGGGCGCTGAACTAAATAAAAGCTATTTAATTTATGAAGAATGATTGCATTATTTTAAAAAATGCTGTTACAAGCGCTGTCAGGCTGGGCATGCAGAATTACTTTGTGTTTTGAAAATTCACAGGTATTCCTTCTATGTCTTTAGAGGATTTTGTTTGCAGAATTAAAAAAAAATTAGCAAATGAAATGGAAGTGAATGTCTAATTATTTGAACAGTTTTGTTAAAACCCCCAAGGGACGCCTAATGTAGATGATAGCTCGTTAAATATACAAATTCTTGACAAAAATATGTATTTTACTTATTTTTCGTGAAAGTTGAGGGTACAAATTGACTGTTCATATTATTATTGATGTTCTTGTGTCTGTAGACTACTACTAATTAGTAAGAACAATAATGCTGAAGATGGTTTTTGCTCTAATTGCCTCCTTAATGTAGTGTGAATGGTTTGCCTGAAGTGCTGACAAAGCTACTGTAAGTAATCTCAATGTGAAGGTAAACACATCATTGTCTTGGAATGAATTTTCCATTTAGTTGTATAATGCAGTGCTTAATGGTCTGTTTGCCTGGAAGATTTCATAAAGGATCCCTGGGACCTGAGTTTGGTTAAGGAAATAAAATTATCATGGTAGCAGATCATATTATCTGATTTTGGTCTTCCTTCAATTAGCAGTTAGAACTGAACCAAAAGGCCCTCATGTTTCTGCATCTGTGTCTTCAGGACTGATATTCTAGTTTCCATTTCCACACCTTGACCTCTTTTGTAGTACTTACCAACTCCACCCTTTTGCTCTTAAATATATGCAGCTTTACAAAAATTTGACTTCTTGACATTGTTGCAGGCATTTGTTTCATTCAGCGTGGCTGTTTTATATTCAGGGATGGCCTCAGAAATTGCTGTAAAGTGGAGACTGGGTGATTGAGTGGTTTTAAATAAGACAGAATGTTGGTTCTGTACCAGCTGGCAGCAATACTGTATGTACACCTTCCTACAGTATATCTTCGTTAGTGTTTACACACTGTAGTCTACAAACCAGCTACCCCCTCCAGGAGCTGTGCTCTGCTGGGTAGATGTATTGATCTTGGATACAAAGTCAGCAGAATCAGTGATCTGTCACTAAGACTGAAAAAAGACCACTGCAGTGGACATGAGCAGCAACTTGCAATTGTTTCAATTTCTGGTGATAACTGTGGTTGCCATGCTTTAGACTTCATGGTACAAACCACTTTTAAGTGGAAGTTGCATGGAGCAGGGATCAGAAAGTTAGTGCATGTAAGCAATTGCAAATGCAGGCTTGAGGTTTTATTGCCCTGGATTACATGAAGGAGAACTCAGAGGTGAAATACAAGGCTAGATTCAGAGTGGAAGCTTGTATCAGTGACTGAAATGAACTGGACATACATTTTTAGGTTTTTCTATATGGGAAATGAATTGGGTTTTGTGATCACAATTTACAGGGGAGGAGTACACAGACATAGCAATGATGGATGTAGTATAAAGCTGTCAGTTTACCAATTAAATAAATTAAGGATGACTTTTTATTTGGAATGCATGGTCTTTTACCCAGAGCTTAAGTCATGACAAGGTTGAAAGCTGTCATTTTCTTAGCAATGGTTAGTTTATATATTTATTTTTTTTTACTGAGAGCAGAATTGAAATTATTTCCGAATGTTTTCTGACAGTTTAGTCATGAATGTGAATTTGTGTTGGGCACATATTTACATGGTCTTGAAAACAGTCTACCTCAGGAGCAGAATGTACAAGCCATGATGCTACAGGGTGAAAAATTATATTTAACCTGCCCATCCAAAAAAATTACTTCAGGAGGTGATCTGAACATTTTCGTAAAAAATCTAGTACTCTGAATTCCTGCTTAGCTTTCAATAAATGTGTGCTAGCTGTATGAACACGCAGGTTTCCATCTCTATCTAATGATTAAATATGATACACAAGAATGTTTAAGGAAGCTAGAAGAAGGGATGAAGAAATCCCTATATTACATAAAACTGAAAATTCTAGTACAGTAACTGTGCCTGTGTTTAAGGTACTTCATCAACTAGAGCTGCCTTGCAGTTATGACAGAACCTCTGCTCATGCTTATATCACTAATATATGTCTATCGTTATTTTCTCCTGTTGCCTGTCTTCACCATATCAGGAGTTATTGACAAAAATATGTATGTGGTGCAGTGCTTTATCTTACCATTCATATATTTTTAGCTTTTCTTCTAGCCTGTGCAATAATTGGGGTCACCATGATATAATAGCTTTGCTTTGTGATTTGTTTCAAAGGCTTGTTTGGGTATTAAATATTTTAGTGTCTATCCAATTATGTCAAGTTATTTTAAAGCAGTCCTTAAATATTGTTGGAGCTCTTTATGACACTCAGGATAGGTTTTCTAGATCTTTATAAAGTAATTGTTAAAATCTTTTTAAAAGTGCTGAACATGAAAGCAGCTTTATTGGACAGCTAAATTATGCTGGAAAATAACATTAAATGGGATATAAGTTAGTGAACTTATATATCTTTTACAACCTATTCACTTTTAAAGCAATACTACTTTACAACAGTTTACTCAACCATTGTCTTGTATCACTTGATGAAGTATGGATTAAGCTTAAAAATCAAAATTTAGATACTGTCTTTAGGCAGAGAATGTGGATATTGTCTTAAGGCACAGAATGTGGACTCTATATGAAAAAAAAGATGAGCACAGGTGAATTTGACAAACAAACTGGATTTATTTATTTTTTTTCCTCTGTTCTTAATTAATATGTTGGCGTTGCTGTACCTTCTGAAGCTGTCTGGGGTGCTGTAATATGACTTCTATTTCTGTAGCTTTTAGTGAACACCTGGACATACTGCACTGTCAGCAGCTTCAGAGATGTTGCTAACCCATCACTTGCTCTGTGTCACTTGAATTTTCCTACAAAATAAGGGAAGTATGCCAGTATATTGTAAGATGTTTGAACACGGCTGCATCAATGAAATACAGTAGATATAACCTCATTATGAAAGCTGCCTTTCAGTTCTGTTAGTAATTATTTGAATGGGAGTGAGAGGCTTTGTTCAGGGTTTAGGGGCCCCTTTTGTGCTACATACTTTATGAACAGCACAGAGAAAATACACTCCCCACTCTGGAGGCTTAGAAAAGACTCCACATGTTGTTCAGAAATAATATAGCTAGATTTACTATTTTCTAGGTGTGCAAGCTGATGCGGGATCTTGAAGTCTAGTTGCACAGTTTCTGTCTTATATTGTCAGAAGCAGCTCAGATTCTTGAAGTCAAGCTCTGTTTTCAGTTTAATGGGAATCACTGGAGCCTGGAGTTGCACATATGTGACTGAGAGTGGAACTGAAGGAGTCGTGTTGTGCTGATAGCCTTGTGCTTGTCATTTTGTTAACAAACCTGCCATTAACATGCAAGACAGAAGGGACTCCAGCTCATTTTCCAGTTTCCCGTCATGATTACCTTGAGCTTTTGGTCTAACAGAAATTGAAACATCTTCCCTCCTTGTCTCAGTTTCTTACCCTTAACATCAGTCAATGTGACTGACTAGATAAAAACAGCAAATAAGAGGCATTAAAAAAAAAAGAAGAAAAAAAAAGGTGTTTTTATCGCTATATTTTTGGAGAAGAGCTGTTTCATAAAACTTTTAGCTGTGGGTTTTTTTTCCTCTTAATATTTTAATTTCCTTTGTAGGAGATATGGATAATTTCCTTTATATTATAATTCTTAGGACAAATGTATTAGACCAAAGCAAAAGACCATCTAGACAATTTAGGGCAGGTTATAGCCAGCAGTAATTGTCAGGGATGTTTGCTTGAGAAGTGTTCAGAGGGAGGAACATTTTCTTTGGTGTATTTAATAGCTGCTAAAATCAATATAATATAATAGTTACACTTTTAGGAAAACCACAAAAAGGACACTTTCCAACAGATATTTTATGACAGTGAAATTAAAATTACAACTATGAAAGTATTTCTTTTTTCCTATAAAATCTGAATTTTTCTGATTTCTATAAATGCATCCAGTAAAAACAGATCTAAGGTTCTTATGTCACATCAATTTTAATGGGCAAGTCAGTGGAGTTAGTACAGACTACATCAGTGAGCATCCTGGCTCCAAATATGTTCTGTAAGGGTTTGCTTGCTTTGGGGCTTGTGTTTCCTTTAGGGGTTTGTGTTGTTTTTTTTTTACTCCAGCTTAAGACTTAGACTTCTTTTAGAATAGATCATTTTGGTGCTGTGTTCAAGATGTTCTTGATTTGAGAGCTCTCAGTTTTCTTTTCCTTGTCATTATCAGTCAGGAGCAGAGAGTCTCTTGCAACCTCTTCATGGTGGCCTCAACTCACAGCAGTTTTTTCTTTGACAGAGGTTTTTCCCAAAGTCTTTGTGCCACTACTGCTAACCTGAGAAGCTCTGTGTCAGTTACTGGTGTTCTGCACAGGTCACAGATATTCCCAGAACTGCAGCATCCAGCTCTGCTCCTGTTCAGCTTGACAGAACTGAATAGTTAAGCGATGGACTTTTTGGCAGCACAAACTGTCCGAGAAGCAGCCCAGGACCCCTTGAAACACTGAGTGCATTTTCAAGTGTGATTAACTTCACCCATCCTTTAGATGCCAGGAAGTTTCAGGATAATCAAGTTATTTGTGCCTTGATTTAATTCTGACTGGGTACAGAAACTTCTTTTTTATTTTTGAAAGGAGTAGGAGTTTTTGCACTTGCTCTGTAGCAAAGGAGTTCCTGCTTGCCCTGGGACTGGCGTGCTCTGTACCAGAGTTAGTTGCATTTCTATTTGTGCTTTTACGGTAAGGTTGAGAATGTCCTATGAATGCCAGCTGTTTTCTGTAATAACTGGTCTCTGAATAAAGAGCAGTATTTACTACCTACCCAGCTGCCCCATTAAAGCATGCCCACTTTTCCACCACCTCAGCTAAACTGATAGGCACAGATGACTGAAGATCCTGTGTTGTTCTTGTTTGTGGGTTGATCCATGCTGTCAGATAGTGAGACAGTTCAAATGCTCTTGGCACTAATTGCATATAAAATAACCTTCCAACAACAGAGAGGGTGTGTAGCTGTGGTACTAACTCCAGTGAACAGCAGCTATAAGGATACAATTTCTTTTCATGGAATCCTACCTAAATGTACATTTCGTTGATTTTATTTTGACATTTTTGGTGGTGTATCTTAAAGGTAGAAAAAACTCGTGTCTTTTCTTCTTGTTACTGAAACAAGAGCAAGATGAAGGCTGCTTCTCTGGGTTTCCAAAAGCTTTGGGAAAGAGTAACTCCACAAAAAGAAACTGCATTTGGATCTAACATGAGCAGTGTTATCAAATGCACAAGAAAATAGCACAAGTTCTTTGTATTTTTGTTTTTTTTTGAGTCTCGATTTGATGTAGGTTTCTAGAGTATTATCAATTGATCAATAAAACATGTTAGACTGCATGCTAGTACTGATTAATTCACACCTTTGGTACACAAGAAGAACCAAGGTGAAGCCTGGTGTCTCTAAAGGGACTTGCTAAGTGCATTAGCCAGCTGTCTACTAACGTGTGTAGTACCTCTCGGCAGATCACCCCAGTGATCCCAGCCCCGGCTGCCTGGTGTGCTGATGGATATGCTGCAGTAGGATGCAGCAGCACCATGGATGCAGGGGAGGTCCAGCACCTGGCAAACCCTACTGTGTGTTTCCAGGTCTTGCTTCAGGACTGAGGGGAAAATAAAGTTTGTATTGCTGAAAGACTTCAGTCTTCATAGCCATATCCAAGACCTTTTTAGCAAGAAGGATTTGTTCAAAGCTGTATTTAGCATTCCATAACAGAACTTTCTGGCTGTATGTTTGAAGATTGAGTAAAATGTGTGAAAAGGACTCTCTTGCAAAGGATCCAGCTTGCTTATTTTGCATCTTTTTTTTTTCCTTAATTCAAATTCCAGAAATGGTTGCTGTACACTGTAGGAGCTGCTTTTCTCTCGCTATGGCTGACTTTTACCAGGAAGGGTGGGAGGGATTCCCTGTGCTCCTTCAGTTGTGTTACCTGACCAGGTCCACAAATTGTAGCTTTTTTAAAGTCAATTATATCCATTTTATTCCAAGTCTGTGAAAGTATAAAACTTAGAAAGTTAAGCATGCCTTTGGGCATGACACTTCATAAATTCTAAAACAGGAGTTTGGGAGGAGGGAGTTCTCCCCTGGACAATGTCCAACAGCAGCCAAATGCTGGTCTGTCCTCCCTGTCCCTGCTTCTCCCTGTCTGCAGCTGTGTTGCATGCCAGTTCACTGAGTGGCGGTGAGTACAGATGGGATGTGTGCTGGTTTGTGTCAGGGACACGCTGGCGGCGTGGAGATGAGAGCTAAGGAGAACTGAAGGTCAGAAGATAGGCTGATTGCAAGAGGCCCTGCAAAGGCAGTGGGGCTGTCTGTGGGGAGGGAAGGCAACTCCAGGGCAGGGTTTGCTTTTTGTTTTCCAGCTGGTGCCAAGATACAGAGATAATGGTCTGCTTTATCTCCAATCTAAAGGCTTTATGTAAGTCAACCTGCTGTCTGTGTCAGTTCAAGTGATAGTGCTTGTGTGTACAAAGCGACTCATGACAAATCTTCCTGAACTCCAGCTGGCTTCTCAGCAAGTGTGGGGCATCAGAAGTGAGGGGCCTTGGAACTGTAGCTCCACAGCATGCTAGACAGATGTTGTCCTGCTAGCCCTCCTGCTGCAGTGCTTCCTTTGCCCTTGCTGGGGCCATCTGAGGTCACAACACAGAATGATCCAAGTCCTCATTAACCTTGTGGGTAATGCAACTGCTTGAGGTGGTTTGTAAACACAGATCCATGCGGATTTGCAGATTCTTGAGGTGTGATCCCAGGCCTCAGTCTCTCTTCACCAGGGATATTAGCAGGCCACACTGATTGTTTTTTCAGGAAGTTTTTATTTTCAGAAACCTTAAAAAGTGGGATTCAGATGCCTAAACACAGGCATCAAGCTCCATCATCAGAGTTCATGAGATGGTCCTATGGTACCAGGTGGAAAGTTAGGAAACTGAATGGAGACGTGGAGCCTCCAGGAGTGGCAGGGGGAAGCCAAGGGGAATATGTTGTGGCATTTTACATGGCTGTAATGTTTGTAATTAGACAACTTGGTCACACCTTTGGGGTCTTTTAGGCTGAGCCCTTTGGCAAATGTGGCTAAAGGAGTGTGATGACATGGTGTGGACAGGAAAACACAGCTGTCCCCGAGTACTAATTCAATGTACTAACATTTATTGCTGAAAAAGCTATTCTAAAATCAATCCTGACTATCACAGCATTTTTTACTCCTGATGTATTCATGAGTGTTTGGCATACTGTGCACATTCTTAGTTTTGAGAGAACTGACATTAATAGCTATTAAGTTAAGTCTGAAACTGTGTGGCATTGTTAATTACCTCCAGTCATGTAATTTATTGAACTTACAAAACTTAAGTTCTTGAGTGCTATGACTAATTATAAGATTGGAAATTAATCCAGAAGTGGAAATTACAGCCATACTTGAAAATGTCTCTCAGGCAACTTTGATCATTTTCACACGCTTTTATCCGCAGGTCTCTACGAGGAGATCCGTCAGTGCCGTGAAGCCTGTGGAGAAGCTCGTATGAAAACAATCTTATCAACGGGTGAACTGGGGTCTCTTGCTAATGTCTACAAAGCCAGTATGATAGCTATGATGGCAGGTAAATATATGATGTTTTCTTTTTAAGCTAAGAATGTCTTTGCTATATTATTTATGAAGCTTAAAAAATTCTAGGTGTGAAAGTTTAGTTTTGCCCAAAGTAGAAAAAAAAACTATTATGCAGCAATTGCTGAAGTTGCAGGTATAGTAATGAAGTCTTTTTCTTTTTTTTGGTATAACCTACAAAAAACTGCATCAAATGCTAAATAACACCTAAAACGGCGACAAAATTTGTGGAATGAGTAATATTTGTTGTAAAATATCTGATCCTTGGTATATTTAATAAGGACACATATATTTGGGGCAGATACATGTATTATCTAAGCAACAGTGGTGAGCTACAGATGTGGCGTAGGTAGATACGTCATAAGCTTATTTTAAATGGAGAGGGAATTTTCCTGTGAAGATTCATGCTGACAGCTCTCTCTTCTGGTTTACAATCATTTCTGCTAACCACCCTTATTAGAGTGTGGTTTGAGAAACCAGCTGTACTGGAAATGCAGTAAGGGGGAGAACACCACATGCTCCATCAGGCACTTGGATGGGCTAGGATATAACTGGTTTTAACTGGAATGCTCAAAATCAGTGGCACTCACTATCAACAATTAATTGGCACTTCAAAAGGTGTCCAGTCTTCCTGTCTTTGAAAACTCGGTTACATCTGACCCAATATTTAGAAGTCTGTCTGCCTTTATTCTGAACCTTTCAGCCAAGAAACACATTCCTATGAGCATGATGGAGTTTTTAGGGGCTATGTATTGCTTGTAGGAATTACTTTTTTGCATAGCTACTGCCACTGAATGTAGCAAAGCACCTACTTGAGCCCAGATTTACAACAATATAGTCTCTGCATCTTTGGGTCTGTGCTGGTACAATTTTCCCTTGTTTAACCAGGATTTTAGGGATGTGTGTTAATGCAAAACTGGGAATTGGTTGATATGGCTACATTCTTTCGGCTCTGTTCTAGGCACCTGCTTCTTCCACTGTGTTTGAAACAGGACTCTTCAAGTGTATTAATAGAAAGAAATGTAAAGATATACTAGAAACACTTGGGTTAGTCTGTCTTCTAAACGTACCCTAATTTTCGTGTTGATTCTTTTTTTCCTACTATAAACTCTTCATCCCTGAATTTTTTTCTTATTTTAGAGCAAGAAAATATAATCTAGTGTCTTGTCAGTATTTAAATAAATATTCAACTTGCTACTGACCTCATTGTCTCCTTACACACCACTGTGCTTACTTCAAATGAAAGGGGAAGCATTTCAGGCATTTACATGCTCAGCTACAATGTCAATTGGTATCATTAGATACAGAGGATCAGTATTATGCCAGTAAATATTGGTTTTAATTAGAAGAGGTAGAAGAAATACACATTTGCTGTAACTTAAACTGATGTAGTAATCATAACGATCAGTTATTATTAACATGCAGTAGTGAAAAACTCAGGTTGTAAAGCATTTTAACGTTTTCAGATTCTTTGCTGGTGTAGTTTTTTTGAAATACAGCAGATGGCTCTATTGTTAATGATTTTCCTTGCATAGTTATTCGTTTTGCAAGATACTTATCCATCTGAATATATGCAGTAATTTCTTTATTTCAGTGTCTTGCTTTTTCTTTGTGGGTAGGTATAAAAATAAGAGTTTGTTGATGCCCTACATGCATGTATTGAGGGTCAGATTTTCAGACTAACTTGTCAGAACTGCTGAGAACTTCAAATTCCAGTTGAATTTTGTTTGATTTTTATATTTGTAGCATCTTGGGGAGGAAGTAATTTGTCACAGTACTTTTAAATTGTAGCTTTAGTATCTATATATTTTTTCAACTGGAGCTATGACTTTGAAGAAAGGAAGAAAGAAAGAAAGACAAAAAAACAGATGATTTTATGGATATGGCAGGCCCTGGCAACTTTTATCTGAAGATAAAAAAGTAACAACTCTGATAAACCTGACCCTAGCAATTGGTTTTATATGCAGAAGTTAGTTACACAATATAATGGATTCAACTGCAAAACTGGCTTTAGAATTTTTTGCTGTCTCTGGCCAATTGTGCCTGTCCTTTACACCAAAATTTGCTGTTCCTTCAGCTGGGCTGTTAGAAATGCTCATCATGCTGTGTTGTAAACTGAGTTTTCAAAGCAATGTAGTTGAAAATTACTTTAGAAAAGGGTTAATTAGTTTGCTGTTTGCTTGTTGTGATTGGTTGGTAATGTGTTGTTTTGTTTTTTTTTAAATGGTCACAGCCTCAATAATCTGTTTTACAGCCTTGCCTTGCGTGCGATTGTGCCAGTGCAACTGAAGGCATGGTGTGCAGTCCTTCAGCTGTTTTAATGTAAGCCTATTATATAGGGAGCACAAAATTCTTACAGATGTTTATGTTGCCCTTGCTGAACATGCACACATTCACCTAGTTCCTGGAGCACAAAGCCGCAGATGTATCGCAACATGTATATAAAATGTATGTATTTCCTGCACGTCTTATTTGTAAGACTCAGAAGACTGAGAGAGTAACACAGTGCTGATTTATCAGTAGCTCTAGAGCTTGCCTGGGACGTCTGGGACTTGGTCTCTGACTTGGTCTCTCTGACTCAAGTTCTTCCAGACAGAGGTCAGTTTTACAGTGTATTTGCTGTTAAGGATCTCAGTCCCTCCCAATAAAGTTGCTCTGCTTTGCACAAAGCAACTGAACAGGGAATACAATCCAGATGTCTCCTCTCCCAAATAACTTGCCAAAATTTGTATAGTCTTCCTTGTGCTGTCTTGAGGAATTACCGGTATGTGGTGGGACCCACAGCATATTTCATTTAGTCTGATTCAGGTAGCAGGTAGGGGTTCAGCCTCTGGACATGAGGCCAGCTGCACAGATCACTGATTTGAAAAGGGATGGTAAAAGGTCAGAAAATGTGCACCTCTGCACTGGCTGGGATTTAAAAAGAACATTAAGGACCATGCTCAGGCTGGGGTGGTGTGCCCATGCGCTTGTATTCGGAGCAGATTGCACACGCTGCTTCTGTAGGCAGACAGCTGTACTCTGAGTCATAGCCCTTACAGGACTCAGCAGAAGCCATTCACTGTACATCAGCGAGTGAGGCTGAGCCCAGTCAGATGTGCAGATCCCACCAGTGCTCTGGAGGTAGAAGCCAGCTGTAGAAATGGTGCTTTGCACAACATGCCTGAATACAATACGTTAATGCTTGTGCCTGCAAGAAAGTGTTGCTTCAAAGGAAGGTATGAGAGTAGTTTACCTGTATGTGAAGCAGTGGCTTTTGGTTACTCCTGTACCTGAAATTTATCTCCAAAGTAACATGATGACTTTTTCTTCCTTGTCTGGCACAGTACTGTAAGGAGAAAGACATCAGAATGGGAGCAGGCACACAGTTCCCTTAATTTCTCTTAACCATACCTTGACTGACATATGATAAATTTCTTCTGGAATATTTAAGAACCTATTTCTGAGTGAAAGAGGCTGACAGCCCTCTAAGGACAGTGACTCATCTTGCAAGAATAATTCTTGCAGTGCTAAGGAGGACATAATGCCAGGTAGGATTGCACATCAGTGGCTCTGTGTCACTGCCAAAGGTGCACACTCTTTTCAGAAGGCTGATCAAAAGAAAATCTCAGTATTGAATCAGGGGGATTTTGGTCATTGGTTTATAATGTCCACTGCCATTTCTTGAGCTTTTTGAAGTCTTGATGGTGGTTTATGAGCATCTTAAGGGAAATGGCAACTTTGACTCTACCCAACAGCTTCCAGACAAGGAGCAGAGCAAGCTAATCAATGGTTTTCACTGTCTGGTGTATACTTGTGTGTGCCACATCAACTCTGTATCTTTGTAGCCTCTTGGAGTAAACAGTCCTAAGGAACACAAATGTGAGTGCTTGACAGCACCCTACCAGTGGTAACTATTCTGTTTCTTTGTTGCAGTGTCTTAAAAAAAAAAACCCAAGCAGGTCTTGTGCACAGTTCTCTTGCGAGAGGTAAAACTTTTTTAACTTCTATTTTCTGACACAAACATCGGAAACCACCAGGGAAGCCCGGCAAGCAAGAGAAGTACGATGAGCTTGCAGTGGGAAAGGAGCGTTTCAGTAAGGATGTGGATGACTTAATTGCATATCAGAGTCATATATAAGGTTTTTATTTTGGAAAATCATATTTTAACCATATTACCTAATTACAAAATCTTTATTGTCCTGTGTAACAATTCATATTAATTAGGATATGTAGACTGGGAGAGAGGTGGAAGACGTGGTTATGTAAATGTACTTTGCTTTAAAAGTGAAAACTTAATCTGAGTAATTCTGACTGTGAAAGCTGCTCTTGATGGTACAGCTCCTTTTACATCAGGCTTTGAAAAGCTAAGGGGAACAGAGTGACACATAAAAGGTATTTGCTTTCATTATATATATATTGAAACAAGTACCTGTGGAAAGACCATGAAGGAGTGATGCATGTTCTTCTGCAGCTCTACTAAATCTATGGGTTTAAGACAATTTTTTTTCATAGGTCATTAAGCAGTTAGTCAAATAAATTGTAAGCTGTACTGACTAATGTAAAAATTGAACTCAGAAAGGGCATGAATTAGTGCTAAACCAAACTAACTTGTAAAGTCTCTAGCACAAAAAGCCCTGCAAAAAGTTGCAGGAGATGGCTGAGGCAATAAGGTCTCTGATGCTGATAGTCTAGAAGAAGAAAACTAAACCACATTAAATGTGTGAGCAGAAACTTTTTTAGATGTTTGATACTGTTCATTCCAAAGTGAACAGAAATAATATAGCCAAATAGTTAAGAAAAGCCGTATCTTGCAGTTCTCTAGAGAGCCTGCTATCAGGTATTCCAGGCTTCATCCCTCTTTACAGAAGTGGTTCCAGTTAATACACACTTATCATTTTCATAGCAAAACTTACCAAATCTTAAAGTTGCAAATGGGCTGGCCTTGTGCTGGATTCAGAGAGACTGGCTGAAAGCTGTAGTATCCAGTCTTTGTCTCTTGAAGTAGAGAGCAGT